GATTCTCAATGCATTTGCCCGCAATGATGAGTGAATATGAATAAATATATTAATGAGCAGCGATTTGTCTGCGCGTTAACAACACTCAGCCAAGTCCATATTCCTTGCCACCCACTTTCTGTCCATTTGCTTAATGGTAAATTTAAGTCGCTGAAAAATGTGGAAAATTGTTTCGCTATTTGGTCTGCGATCGCTTAACTAATTGCAAGCAGATTTCACTTAAGCAGAAACCAAACTCAAATACCAAACTTCGACTAATTTCAATTAACTACCAAGTGGATAAGGTCATATCTGATATCTGTTTCAAGTAGCCTTAATTAAAGCAGTTGCGCTCTTAGATCAAAAATATGTTTCAAGCTCGAAGGTATCTTCTTTTATTTCTCTTGCTTCTCTTCTTATTTACTCTAACTATTCAGCCAATCAATTCCATTTAGCAATTAAAAATGCAAATTTTATTTTATATTAACTGAAATGAACTCATGTTTTTATTTACAGATTTAGCAGCATATTGCTAATAAAGTCAGCGAAATATTTGCATAGCCTGCCCCCAGTAAGTGCGACCAAATATTTTGGATCTAGCAAACAGAATCCAGATCAATTCGCTGATACCAGATCAATGCAAAGTTAGTCCAGCTGCTGGCAGATCTTGAGCTTCAGTTGATCAGCGCGTGTTTAGTGCGGCAAATCCGAAACTTAGCTTGGAATTTGTGCGTCCGAAAGCCATTTGAAAATCCAAGATCAACGCTGGACTAGCGCTAGCTGGCTGGCTGGCATACGAAAGGATCACACAGGATCTGCGGATCAGCAAAATCACCGGATAGCGCATTTAATCCAATTAACGAACCTGCAAGCGAACCTGCGGCCTTACCTAAACTGTGGGCGGTTGAATAGCTTAGCAGAGCAGCGGCTGCGCTAGCAACTGCGAGAGGCAGCACCAGGTAGTCGCCGATAAATGTAAACGCTCCGAATGGGCGCCGATGTCGGGTGTGAGCGGGTGCTGATCTCGGATAAGTTGATTAATTAAAATTTCGCTCAGCTTTCAAACGAAGCTCATTATTTAATGAGTTTTTTGACAAACCCCTGGGTGTGGCAAGTGGCGACGGCCTGACAGCCGGTGGGTAGCACATTCGGCTGGCACTACGCTCGGATTCAGATTCGGATTCGGATTCAGATTCGGATTCGAGGCGCGACAACTGCCCCAAATTAGCGCAATTCGCTTCAAGCGTGGGATGCACGCCAAATATTTTATTAGCTCATTATGCAAAGCGAATTGGCATTAAAAATCAACAAAGCAAAGGGGCGTGGCGACGCCAAAGAGCTAGGGAATGTGCTTGTCAATTTATAAATGCGAAAAGCTTAAAAGCGTTAAATTAACAAGCTAAAGAGCCATAAATGACGTTTCCTCTTTTTATTCGTCTGTTCTCAAAAAGGCAGCGAAAGATAAAGCTGCAAAGGAACGCAGTGAGAGGTAACTGAGAGAGAGCATTGAGAGTATATTTAAAGTCCGACTTCTATCATCATTCTATTGAACAATTTTTGTTTTGCTTCCAGCATCAAGTTTGATTCAATTTTAGTTGAGTTGTAAAGGCTAAATTCAAACCAGCCTAGTCAATGCTATTCACAGTAGAGTCGTGATCACTCCAGGTAGAGGTGTGGTTCGATTGGACACGCTTATCGGCGGAAAACCGCATTGAAATTACGCCAGGACCTGCCCAAGTTCCATAATTGCGGTAATGCCGATAATCTGTTCTTGTATGTTGGCAGCTACAAGGACTGCCGAGTCCCTCCGGTAGCTGAGGGATGCGCCCATTGCTTACGCGCGCTTAATCCCGTGGACCGCCTACTCATAACAACGAGTCAGCATCTAATTGTTTGTGGAAAGGAAAGGATTGATGAGCGCTGAGCGTTGGCCATCGATAATTGGATTAAATACGCGTCCCGCGACAATCTCTGGTGATCCTAGCGTTAGTCCAGCGCTGATCTCGGATTTCCACTGGCTTTGAGGCGCACAAATTCCGAGTTAAGTTTCGGATTTGCTGCGCTAAACACACGCTAGAAGCTGGAAGCTGAAGCCTGGCAACTGAAGCCGCCATTGCCATTGCCAGGCTGCCAGAACTGATCTTAAACTAAGCGCTCAATTGCCTGCACAGCAAATCCAAAATATTTATTTGCATTTAATTAAGTCGCAAGCTTAGCGACGGCAATCGGAAGTTCGACGGGTCACGCGGCTCTCAAATCCGCGCCATTAAAATTCAATTAAAATTTTGCTCCCACCCAAAGCAAACACTGAACCAAAAGAAATGGAACCCTTTTTGGTAGACAATTTTAATTAAATCTGTGCCACGCCGTGTGACAGTATCACCAAAAATGCTCAATTATTAAAACAAATAATGCCAATTAGTTGTGTCAACATTGAGAGCCACAACCCTGACAATCGCAGCAGTTGCTCCCAATTATGATGCGCTAAAGAGCCGCCCAGACGGACACCACCACCAGCAGCAGACGCAACACCAACGGCAGCGGCAGCGGCACCAGCAGCAATAGCAACGACAAAGGCTGCTGCTTTAATTGACACTCAGATGCCGCCGCCATCATCGCCATTAACTGCCCCTAGACTTGCCCCGCTGCCCATGGCCTAGCTCAGCCTCGGGCGGGCAGAAGAGCACAGAAATCACAGAAGAGACAGTCACTGGCTCCTCATTTGTGCGTCTAATGAAAACGCTAACGAGACACAGATACATATACATATACACACACACATGCATACAGAGAGTGGGGTAGTGCACACATTAGCACAAAACTCTTAGGCAACGCAATCAATTCGCTTCTGATTTCAAATTTATGTACCTCATCCGCAAAGGAAGCAGTGGAGGGGGATGCTAAAGCTGTAGCACTAACTGTAACTAGACAGTGACAGCGATATCCAACCAGACACCACCAGCACCACCACACTCACACACACAAGCACACAGGCACATACATAAGGGGTCTCCATTTTCTCTCACTCTCTGGCAAAGCCGTGCAAAGTACTCCTGATAATGAGCTCCATCTCGCTGGCAATTATTAAATGAATTGGATTTATATGTTGCCGGCAGCAGCAACCGCAACAACAACAGCAGCAATTACAACAACAGCAATTCCCGCTGGCTGGACTGCTGCATAACCGCCCCTTAAAATAGTTATGCTCTCTGTCAGTATTGCTTGCTCACTCGCACTCGGTCGCTCACACTTGCAGGCTGCCAGCCAATGGGAAACGTTTATTTGCTGCTTGTTATCTGTTAGTGTGGAACGTGGAAGTCTTACCGTGTGGAACGTATTCAGCATACAATGCAGCTTGCTAGGGAGAACTCTTTATATACAACAATACGCACACTTATACGAACACATGCCTCATATATTTTAGTATATAAATGCTGTTACTTTGGCTTTCATTATTTATGTATTCAAATTGTCTACATAAATTTGTTAATTTTGAAACAAATAGCCTTTAATTACTTGCAAAATAGACGATATTTACGTGTGTGTGTGTTTTGTATTATGTGTATTTATAATCGAGACGCTGCAGGCGATGGGCGTGCCAGCAACGGTATCAAATAATCACATGCAAATAATAAACAAACCTAATCATTGCATTTGCCCGCTGCTTTGGTCATATTTCAATTACAGTAAAAAGCCAAGGAACACGCCTCTGCCCATTGGCAGTGCAACAACAACTGCGTTGACCTTTGGCGAGAGCACCGAAACAGCAATGGCGTCGAAGATGCACAAGAAGCAGAAGAAGAAGAAGAAGAAGATGGAGCCTGCAACTCATTGTCTGACTAATTAAATGATTTATCCCGAAACGTGAGGCAGCCAACACTTTGCAGCAGACAACAACAATCCGAATCCAGCTGCAACAAAAACCAATTACAATTACCGCACCCAAAGGTGCCACAAAAACATATACTCATACACGCTGATACACACACACACACACACACACACATACTTACACTGCAGCAGACATGCAGTTATTGCAAGCAGAGGTACAGAGAGAAAGAACCAGATCAGGAGAACGAGAGATGCGACGACAGCAGCAGCAGCAACCGCAGCCGCCTGGGACAGGAAACTTTATCTAGATGCATACAAATCCAACACAAAGCGCACGTCAATTTATTTGCCAGCCTCGGACGGCTGTCGAGCGTCCGAATTGGGCAGAGGCGGTGGACGAAGGTGGGCGGTTGGCGGGCTGGAGTAGTTGGACGCGGCTCATATATAGATTTACCTATGGCAATGCCAATGATGACGATGTCGAAGTTGGCGCTGCATGTTTTATGCCTCTTCTGCAGCTTTAACGAGGTGTTTATTTTCACAACTCTCACGGCCAAGGCGTCTGTGTGTGTGTGAGTGCGAGAGCAAATCCATTTGTGTGTGTGTGTGCGAATGCAGTTGCTCTTTATTGAAGGTGCAGAAAACGAGGGCCCGCCCCTTTTCATGCTGGGCTCTTGGGCAGCCAACATGATGAAGATTCGATGCCCGATGACGATGCAGTTCGTGCACAGCTTGTGCAGCCAGGGGCAAGCAGTGGGGCCTGCTGAGCGGGACCACTTTGACGGCAGGGCGTCTATGGAAATAAGCAATGATGTTGACGCCGTCGCAGAAAGGTGACTACAGTGGTTCGCATAAGCCAATTTGGTACTATGGCTAGTAGTTCCGGAAAGACATTTTATATGATTATATGATTAGATAAACAAGGTAGAGCTGGGCACTCTGATTAGTTAAATTCTTGACAGATAATAGTTTGTAAAAATATTTGAGCTTTATTCAAACATTTTATTAGATATCAATTTTCGACTTATTTCAAATAAATATATAAATAGTTGATTCAAATATTTACTATTTTAAAATATTTAAAAATACAAAATATTTCTTTGTTTTACTATAATGTCTACCATAAATTGTATGATATTTATATTTAATAGAAAACAATAGTTCTTGTCAAATTAGAAGTCCTCCTAAGATATTTATTCTGAAGCCAACTGCTCGAAGATGAACACTTTTCATACGTACAGCAACCACTGTGCCTATAAATGCTGACTGCCCACTTTCGAACTACGCCCCGGCTTAGCAGCAGAGTTCTCTCAGCCAGCAGCTAGTTGGGCACTAAAACCACAAACGCTTTAATGATGCTGTTTTGTTTAGCGCAAATTGTTTGTTTCGCTGTCATAAACTGGTGCGAAAAATGGCCAAGCGCTGCCCCGCGGTGAGAGCCAAGCCCAGAGCGAGAGCAAGAGCGCGAGCGAGAGCGAGAGAGCGCCAAATGTGGACCAGACTGACGAGTGGTCACAACACATCGAGCGACGCACACACACAGACACACTCACACATAGTGCTGGGAGCTGGTTTGAACACTTCATTTATCTGCGCTGCTTTGGCGCATGCGCCACGCGCATTGGGGGCGAGCGAGACGACAACAGGCCGCAGCAAATCCGCAGCTCCGTTGGAATGCCAGGCCGGAAAAAAATGAAGCGACAGCCAGTTTGATTTCGTGATTTTGTGGCAGACATTCGCGCGCGCGTTTTCGGCAACCGCCACGCGACGTAACGCAAAGACAAGCGATTTTGCCGTGAATTCAAGTTGCCGACGCCCCCGCAGCAAAGCCCCTTAACCCCCACGCCAAGCAAACGTTCGAGAGCGGGCAGCGGCGCATATAGCTCGCTCTGCCGGCAATTAGACGCCTTTAGCTGCTCTCGCATAATGCTAATGGCGTTGACAGTGCTCATCAACGCGACGACCGCAATCAATGGACGTTGTCAACGAAGCTGCCGTAGCCACCGTTGTCAATTCTCCAGTGAAGTGCGACGGCCACGCTTCACCAGCACCAGCACCAGCACCAGCGGCAGCAACAGCGATAGTGCCAGCGCGCTCCAGTATATCAATGTCAACGACGGATGCCAATCGCTGATGCATTAAACCGAACTCTTGATCTATTTATGTGCTTACGTGTCTACTAGTGTTCGCATGTGTGTGTGTGAGAGTGTGTGAGTGTGCCATACTCAACCACTGACCATTGACCGCTGACCCATCTGTTGTGGGCACTGTTTGACCCTTGTGCGGTGTTTTCCATTATCCAACTATCGAAACTCTGGACATCGTCGCGCCAAATGGTCACGTGCGGTCGTCAAACGTTCAACATGCTGCCAATGGCGCCGACGAATCCCTTTGTGGTGTCCGTCAGCTCCACAACTGCTCCGTCCGCCTCAGCATCGTCCTCAGCTGCAGGTGTCAGTTGCTCTTCCAGCACCAACAACAACAACAGCAACAGCAGCAGCAGCAGCAGCAAGCCAAAGCTGGCCTTCAGCATTGATTCCATAGTCGGCGCTGAGCCGTCTACAACATCGAAGACGGCTACTCATCCGCAGCGTATGACCGTTATTGCCTCGCCACGAGGCGACAGCCCAGTGGTCACGCCCATTTCACCCTGTGTTGAAAGGCGTACGCCGCGCGGCTTCATTTATTGCCGGCGACGCGCATCCTTGGATGAACGTTCACGAAGTCCACCTGCGCCGGCTAGCCGTTCCCCATCTCCACCGGGTGCTGCGCCTGTTGTTCCACCCACTGCTCCCATTACGCTGCCCGGACTAATTCGCCCGCTTCCGCTGCCGGCTCCAGCAAATCTAACTTTACTTGGTGCCCCACGATCCACGGATAGCGCTTCACCCACGGGCACGGGGCCCGGAATCCCATCGCCAATTCGGCCCACAGCCGCTGCGCCTCCACCTTTTCTCGCCGCCCAGTTTCAAATGGCCGCCGCCTTGGCGCACCATCATCATCAGCAACAGCAACAGCAACAGCAGCAGCAGCAGCAGCAACATCCTCAGCATCCGTCTGTGCCAACGGGGCCGCATCATGGCCCACCACCACCGCCGCATCTAATGCCTGGTCATCCGCTGGGCATCTTTCCAGGTGGCCCCCATCCAGGCCATCCACCACCTCACGGTCATCATCCATTTGTGGCCGCTCCTCATCTAATACGTGACAGCTATCCGCTCTATCCTTGGCTGCTCAGCCGACATGGGCGCATTTTTCCACGTTTTCCAGGCAGTAAGTACGCTAAACCTGCTAGAACAGCTTGAAAATATAAGTATATAAATATGATATAAAAAGATATAAACAATAAACCAATAAGAATAATTTTCAGCATAGCTGAAACTTTCAAAAAAATTGTCGATGCTTAGAATTAGAAATTAGATTGTCTTAGGTTCTTTCCAAGTATGAAAAGCTCTTAAAACATTTTTTAAATTTGATATCTACTTAATATATGCACTAAGCAAATACAGTTAGCTTTGCATGGGCAACAAATTTTGGTTTCGTCTAACTCGAAAATTATTATTTAACTGAAGTTAAATATGATTTTAGTTGCAGCTAATTAGTTTTATTACACGATGGACCAAGTTTTAAATGGGCTTAGTTTAAAACCAGTTTGAGTCCTGTCTCAGCCATTACACGATATAGATAATAGAGAAATTCTGTTTGTATAGTCGCAAACTTAAATGTTGTGCCCAGCACAGACTAAATAGACAATACATTTTTAAATCAAATCAAAACAATTGATGATTTCTCAAAATTTAGATATTTGGTACACTAAAATATATATCTTAAGCTACTCAAACAACTTCCGCAATTTCTAAAGAAAAGCTCTTAATATTTATGCTACAGTCAGTCTTCCAGCTAAGATATTTTTATATATATATTATTATAAAATAATCAGCAAACCACAAACAAAACCGCATTTAGGCAATTAGATATAACTCTAAAGTAAAAGTTATAATGGGAATCATTTTCGACCTTCTACAATGTAAGCCTTTGAAGGCAGCTAGGCCTCAGGCGTGCTGCGAGAGAAGAGCATTAGTAGAGAGCCACTAAATGGTTATTGAGTCCAAGCCACGCAATAACTCACTTATAAGCAGCAACTGTTGTTGCTGTTGTTGCTGCTGCTGCACCTTATAATTAAAGTTAAATAAGTAAATTGCAAGCATTTATTACAAGTTAATTAGACGTCTATCAGCCTCATCATCATCATCAACAGCAGCAGAAGGCAATGGCCATTTTGAGTCGTTCGTCAAAGCGAGGGAGTGGAGCAGGGGGCAGAGGGTGGGCAGGGGTTGGGCACAGACCAAAACCAAGCCAAACCAAACCGAACCCATTTTCATAAGCATTTTCAAACAAATTACATTTTAATTAAATTGTTTAAACAACATTACACACATCGTTAGGTCAAGCAGCGTACCTAAATACCCAGCCAAGTGTGTGTGTGTTGGGTGTGTGCTTATGTGTGTGTGTGTGTGGACTCAAAATTACCAATTAATGGCGCTTGAAAGCGACGGCGCCACTCGTTGAGCAGAGCCCCTACGGTGTATGTATAGCACAGAGGCACACACACACACACACACACACATAGACACATACCTGCACATGGCAAAAAAGTGCAACGAGTGAAATGTTAATGCGTTTTTAATTGAGGTTTTGGGGCATCCAAGCAAACGAACCCATCGCCAGACCAATTTCAATTCCCAGTTACGAGTTGCCAGTTCCCATTCTCGCCACTGTCGTCGCCCTCCGCTCATCCACGCTCGTCTCCTCGGCATGCCCTCGCCCGACCAGTCACATGCACATGCAGAGTGATCCCAGACGAGACGCATGCGTCTCACAACATTGTCATTTATTATTATTTAACCTTTTTATGCAGCATTTTTTGTTTTTGTACTTCTGTTTTCTGTTCTCTGTGGTTTCGCTCTACTCTCGTAATTACACTTTGAATTTGAATTTTCATGCTGCGCCATTTCTCACATGAGTTTAAGAATTATTTTGTTTTTTAGGTGGTTATTAGGGTTACATTATTTTCGGCACACTCACACACCTTTCACCTGCTTTCAACGGAGCTCGTTACGCCTTAATTATGTTGTATGATGTTTCATTATAAAAAAGCAGGCGGAGTTTACTCTCCAAGTATATTTTTGTTGTTGTTTCCGTATCGTTAGTTAAGTGCTGTAATTTTCGCTTGATTTATGAACGTGAAAATGGAAATGTCAATGTTTCGCATAACGATTTCATTAATTGTAAGTGCTTCGTTCAGTGTAACTCGTGCGCGTCATTTTGTGGCAGGGTATAAAAAGGTGTATAACGCCAAAGATCAAGAAGATAATTATGATGACAGCTTAATTACAGATGCTCCAACAGGTTGCAGCAGCAATTAAACAAGCCTTCTTCCCAACCCGATACAACTATCTTTATATTTTATTAAATTTCCAAATACTTGATATATATTTGCAATCATTATTCACCTTGAACAAATTCTACAATAGTTATTTAAATCAATCAATCAATTCTCCATTGTTCCATTGCAAAAGATCAGCTCTTATCGCTAGCTGCCAGAATATTCGACTTCGATTTCAGCTCTGATTCCATCTTTAAATGTCAATGTACTGCGAGGGTAATTGCAATTCCAATAGCGAATGCCAATAAATTAATGAAAAAATCATGAGAGCATAAAACTTAAGCCGAAACTCATAAAAAAGACAACAACAATAAGCGCAAAAAACTGCAATTGTATATAAAGTGATAAATAATAAGATGGACAAAAACCACGCACGACGAGCGATCGATCAGAGTGCGAAGGGAGCTGAACACGCTCACTAAGGCAACACTTTAATCATAAAAAGTACATATGTGTATAAGTGACAGCTGACAAGGGTGTGAGCAACAACAACAACAACAACACTGAAACAGCAACAGCAAGCGGACACATCAATTAATTGTCAATTGCGCGTATTTTCGCACGGCGGTTTCTTTGTGCTTGGCCCTATAAAAAAATAGAGAAAAGGAAAATATCAACAGCCGAAATATGAAATACTCTACCGCACCTAAGTGAAGTGTGTACATATGTGCGTGTGTGTATGTGTTGTAATAGCAGTAGCTTTAACTAGGTAATGCAATATTGATATTGGCAAATATTGATCGAATGATTTTACAATATTTTTATTTTTTTTTTTAATTTTTTTCAATTTATATTTAATTTATTAATTTGTGAAAGTTGTATGAAATTTAACTGAGTATTCAAGCATAATCATATAATCTTCTATATTGAAGTCGCCTGGTTTTTGTATTCTTGCATTATCTATACAAATTAATTACAATAATTGCTAATCGAATTTCTAAAGAATTTCGTCATATTTTGCTTGCAAAAAGTGACATCAACTCGTAATAATTCAAATGAAATGCTGAACTGAATTGTCCATTATATAATAAATTGCATATATTTCAAGAAAATACTTTGCTATATATTGCTGAGTAACGAACTTCATCTAAATTTATAGCTTTATTCATAAGTCAAATAGTAATCCGATCGAACAACATATCAAGCTTAGTTTGTATATAAATATATAATTGATACTAGCTTCTAGTTGTTCTTTTTTTAATAACATATATGCCCTTTACAATCAAAAATATTTTCTGTTACAAACTTCATGATAAGACTGTCATACTCATTGGCAGAGTGTAGGAGCGAACAAGCAAGTCAACGAGCAACCCGCGCAGTTCATTCAAAGAAACATTGCGTCCAGATCGATGACTGGGGACAGTCTATGAAAAAATAATTAAGTAGCCATTGTGCGGCGCACACTATCAATTATAGACTATGGGACAGTTGTTGTTGCTGCCATTGCAGTCGCAGTGGCAGTGGCAGTAGCAGTTGCAGTTGCAGTTGATGCTGCTGCTGCTGCTGCTGCATCTTGTAGCCGGCGTTGTTAGCTGTCAAATGTAACAAATGTCAGGCAATCGGCAGCATAAAAAAGTGGATCATGGCTGTGGCAATTGTTTGTCAAGTTCGGGGCACACGCATCGCAGCGCCTGCATCTGTCAGCTACAAGATACACAGCACTACGCGGTTGCGTTTATGAAGTGTCAAATTGACAAGTTCCAGCGAGCGGCGCGCTCTTGTTTGTTATTTTCTGTTTAGCTAGGCGTTCGACGCTAACAAGATACAAAACACAATACGACACAATCGCCTGAGAAAGGGCGCATCTGATGCTTTAGCCAGTTCTGAGCCTTCTTCCATTTGTCTTTGTTTGCTTTGGGCTGGCTAAGCTGTTGCTGCTGTCGCCCTGAGCCAAATATCCTGTTGGCTGAGCTATCCTTTTGCAGCCGTCAGTTCAATTTGCAATGTCAATATTGATTTTGTAACGACCACAGCTTGTCACAAGCTAAAAAGAGTTTCCTGCAGGTGAGTCTGCCTCGGCTTTAGGTAGCTATTTTATCATTATAATTATGGCATAGATGCGGCCTGCTGGCTGTTGTCGCAGTTGGCAGTTGGTAATGGCTGTAAATCTCAGCAGCATCTCGCACAGTAGCTTGCTGGTTGCAGCGAATGCATATCCATAACGATATCAATATTCAAATTGTGGCTCAATTGAAAATTTGCTAACTTCACGCAGCGTCACGTGGCCACGGAGCCACTGGCCGCATTGCGAGCCATTCCAGAAATCGTGATAAACGTCAAAATATCACGTTGTGCGAGGGCTCTGCCCGTCCTTAAACAATGGGCCACAGCAACGAAGGAGGCGTCGTTGGCGGCTTTTGTCGACATTTAGGCGCGCTAAAGTGTTCAACTTGGCGTTCAGCCGAGGACAGCACCAGGCAGAGGCACAGATCCAGATCCCAGGCACAGGCACAGGCACAGGCAAGCTCAAGCTCTCACTGTGGCTGTGGCGGCTTCTGCGCAATTGTTTCGCTTATCAGCGATGTCGAGACATGGCAGACACAGCGCCAACGCCGACAGCAGCAGCGGCACTGGGCTGCGGCACGATCCACACAGCCTTTGTTTTCTTTGTGCTCAGGCCCATGTCTGGAAATTTGTTTATTGTTTTGTAATGAGTTTAGCAGGCCTGAATTTGCGGCATCTTTCAGCAGCGGCGGCGGCATTCGCGGAAATCATAACCAGCAAATTGAGGGCCATGTCGCCTAATTGGCAGAGCCAACAGCAGCACCGCCAACATGTTCCGAGGCGGTCTGTCGCTCTGGCGGGCCGACTGCCTGGCGGACTGGTTGTTGCACGTAATTACCAAATTATAGCGCCAAATATGTGCCGGTCACGCTGTGCGAGCCATTTCCCACTGGCGGCCATATTTGAATGCTTTTCAACACTTGCGATGACAACACTAAAATAAAAAACAAGCAGCCACTCGCCCTGTCATGCATGGAAAATTTATCAGTGGTTGCTTTGGCTCCACCTCAGCATGAAAGCCATTCGAAAGCAGAGTGGAACTTGCAAAATGGCAACACAATTCGTAATGGTGACTGAAACTTGGCTACTTTAGTTATTGTTATTAACTGGTTTAATTAGCAGCACATTTTACGCTCTGTTTGAACATATAGTTCCCTCCATTAAAGCCTTATTCCCATATTCTGGGCAAATCATTTATAACCGTTATAACTTTCACCTAATTAGCAAGTACTTTGATATGCACACCTGTATGTCATGATCTAATGAATGGTTTTTGTTAGTGACCTTTCAAATTTAAGCTCTGAAGTTAATAAGTTAATAATATTAAATAGCTTTAACTGCCATAGAAATAAATAAATAACTTTAGGTAAATTCAAAAGTTACTCCTAAATAAGTCAGCAATGAATTTATTAATTGATCACGTCGTAGAGATATCCTTAAGTATTATATCTGATTTATTCGTATCTGAACAACCCTTTCAGACTTCCTTCTGCAACCATTTCGCAAGCCAAAGCGGGTGCGCACCGCCTTCTCGCCAACGCAATTGCTCAAGCTGGAGCACGCCTTTGAGGGCAATCATTATGTGGTGGGCGCGGAACGCAAGCAGCTGGCCCAGGGACTTAGCCTAACGGAGACGCAGGTAAGCAGAGGCCGGCTGGCCCCATCCCCCATTCCATTGGAGACCATGCAACCCTTTCGATGGGCGAGCTTAATGCGCATCAAATTCAATAAATGCCTTGCCCAATTGGCCAAGCTCAGCCCCTGCTGGAGCAACCCTGGCCGAGCGTTAAGTGATTGCATGTCAGCTGGTAGTTAACCCGCCAAGTGCCGGGAGTTACCAAGTTATTAGCGCTAAGAGGGAGCACCAGAGGGTGGGCGGAGAGGCAGTCCTTTGGGCATAGCTGGGCGGCAGGCGCAGGCAGGCAGACAAATAGAATTAAAAGACTCGTTAAATTTATTTACGAGCTGCCGAGCTGCCGCCCTGTCGCAAAGGGTTGAGCGGCCCAATCATTGCGCTGCACTTAAGTGAGCCAAACCCAATTGAAGTTTATGTGTTTCTCGCCCGGGCAGGTCAAAGTCTGGTTCCAGAACCGCCGCACGAAGCACAAGCGTATGCAACAAGAGGGCGGCGACAGCAGCGATGCAAAGAGCAACAAGGGCGGCTCCTCGGGCGGCGGCGGTGGCGCCGGCGGCGATGGCGATGAGGATGCCAAGCACGACGGCTCCCAGCATAGCTCCACAGATGTGGAGGACGACGAGGACATTGAAGAGGATGACGAGGATGAGGTGATTGACATGGACGACTATGGCAGCGAGCTGGATGCTGAGGAGCATCAGCGCCTGCGCGAACAGTTCCAGCAGCAGCTTGCTCAGCACCAGCAACAGTTGCTGCAGCAGCAGAACGAGGCAGGCGCCTTAACGCCCCAGCAGCAGCAGCAACTGCTGCACCATCATCAGCAACACCTACAGCAACAGCAGCAGCAGCAGCACCAGCAGCAACAGCAGCAACACTTCATGCAGCAGCAACAAATGTATTTGCTGGAAAAGGAGCGGGAGCGGCAAAGGGATCGAGAACGAGAGCGATCTCGGGAGCGAGAGCATGAAAAGCAGTAATGCCCATTGAAGTTGGAGTTGCTTCTGATTGGCCTAAAGTGTCAGCTACTTTGTGTTCCTTTGATTTGTAAATGACTTAAGTTAAAGTGTATAAATTAATTTAATATACTTATATATATAAACACATATTATTTAGCTAAGATGGTGCGTTATTTGGAGTATAAATTTCTGGCGGAAAATGAGAAGTTTCAGAAAATGATTTTCCATCCATCTAAATTTTGCGGATAATAGAAAATGATTTAAGAAGTAGAACCAAGACAAGCTGGAGTGTGGATAGCACTAGGAATACTAAATAATTACTAGGATCAGCCTTGATCCGGTTAACAGATTGAAGTGAAGCAAAGTAAGCAATTTGCTAGTAGCTGGCAGCTTGGCACCCTTTCTCTATTCAATAATCCGCAAACGTTAACGAGTCCATAATAAATATCGATCAGCTGCCAACGAGCGGGCGAGCAGTCAGCATTTCGATGACTTTCAAAAGGCTAACAAGCGCCCTTATTGAGTTGTTGATGTGGTGCATACCCCTTTGTCGAGCCATTCGGGAAGTCCCCGTGTGCCAAACGTTGACAGTCAAAATGCAATCAACAATTACGTATTACGAATTACGAATTACGGTCTCATAAAGCGGCCAAAAAATAAACGTCAGTCAGTGATGGAACGACGAATTGATTGGATGCCCAGCAGACATCCATGCCAGGGCAGTACATGCGAAATTGATATTAAAATGCAAACGATTGACTATAAAAATTATTTACTACTATGTATAAATAAGGATTGAGTGCCCCGGGGGCGCCGGCTTACTGCCGCAATATGCATATGGAGCAGGCAGCTAATGGCCCAGCAATTTGGCGTCATTTAAACTGAAACGTGAAATAAACCAAAAAATTAAACTGACAAAAGCCGGCGAAACGGCAGACAGACCGACAGGCAGAGTGAGACAGCGATAGTGGTGAGCGAGTGAGCAGGACGGAATTGTGGAAATGCCAGCGACTCGTGCCCGGCAGCTAACCCAAAGTACAATAAAAATAAATTTTCGTTTTTTTATTTTTTCTTTTTCGATTTGGTATGGCAATTGGTATAAGCGAGAGAGCTTCCACCGAATCGCCCCCAATCCAAGACCAGACCTGTGTGCTGAACCAGACGAAAGTTCAAGGTAATTGCCGTTGTCAAAGCAGCGCAACGAAAAGTGGGCGTGCTCCGTGGAAACTTGGCCAACAATTTATGGGCCACTTGAGTACAAGCAAAGGGTGTTGAGGTTGCACGCGAGCAAGCACTAGGAACTGGGTGGCAAACAGGTACTCGACACAGTCTGTGGGGGTCGACAGCAAAAAGTATTCTCGTATTTTGCATAAACGATGTGAGAATTACTTAATTGCTATTAGAGAGTGTGTGTCTGTATGGGAGAGGCGTTTCTCACTGGCTCCATGTGTGTGGGTACGTTGCGAAATTTATGGGCATTTAGGCAAAACAACAGAAGCCAGCGCAGACAATGAAGTTGTCTACTGCAAGTGGCATGACCAACAGTCTGAAGCAGGTGAGTCCAGGTGGTTTCACTGAACGGAAGGGTTTACTATTATTACAATATATGCATATACACACATCCTCTGTACGTACACGTCAACTAATTTGCTTTGCTATTATATATATGCTACATACCGAATAATCAACATTTGACAGAAACTAAGCAGATTGACGCAGTGCCAAGAAAGCAAGCAATGTAATCTCAATTCCAGGAAAAGTGAATTCGATTTTGTTTTATAGTGAAATATATAAGAGACTATAGAGAGAGCATCAACGTTTATTAAACACAATTTTTTAGTTCATTTATATTTTGTTTTATTTGTTTAATAAGAAGTTGTTGTTGAAGAAACTAAAATCTGATCAGTTTCAGCAGACTACATAAAAATGTTGATCAAAAATAATATATATAATTGACTTCTATATACACAAGCGATACTAATAACTGTCTATATTTTTCTAGAATTCATTGATGCTCTATGAAATGAGACGTGGAAATTCTTTGTTCCATATGAATCCTCGAGTCGATCTAACATTATTAATCTTTCTATTTCTATTATAGATTCTGTTCATATTGTAATCTTAGCCAATTCAATTATCTTGCCAATGAATGACTGATGGCTGATTGGAATCTGAATTCTATATTATTTTTATTATATATTATTTTATTTTATTTTATTTTTATTAGCTTGGAATTCATAAGGTCTAATGACCCTAGCTTTTTAATGTAAATTGAAAGTCTTATGTCAAGTGTATTAACTTTCTCTAGAAAACTCTTTAACTTAAAATTGTTAATTGAAATCGCTTTTCTGATGTATTTCCTACCAATTCCTATTTTCAGAGTACCCAATACGTAACTTTCGCAGCAAACAAGTTAAGGCAAAGAAACTGTTTAGCTAGAAATGTTTGCAAAGCCGACAAAGTATTTCGTTTGATTTTGGCGTGTCTACAACGACGGCGACGACTTTGAAAACAAATTTGCGCAAATGAAAATGAGAGGGGGAAATGGCTATCAGCCAAGTCAACAGCCGACTGTGAGCCGGCCCAGTGCCCGGGCAGGCACTTGGAGCATATTAAGGGCGTCATTAGTGCTGCAGGCAGCGCAAATTTGACAACAGCAGCTCAAGTGGGAATGGCAATGGCAATAGGCATGGGCATGGGTACGGGCACGGCAGTGAGGGGGACGGGCTGATGGCCTGACACATGCTGCAGTGCAGCGGACGTGCCGGCGACAGCGTAGGCGTCCCGGTAGTTGGCCTCTTGTTGTTATTTTTTGCTTGCCGCTCGCTGTTTTGTTGTTGACTTTTGCTATTTAGCAGCCATTTGTATGGCAGGAGGCGGTAGCAAATGCGGAGGCAGCCAAATGCAAACGGAATTGCAGTTTAAACTTCATTTGGCACATTTTACGAGCCAGCCCGCAACGTGGGCGGTCGATTGGCGCTGCCGTCGATTAATGAAGAAGCCGAGCTGCTAGTACGGGTCTGAGTACGCGAGCAAATGCGTTCAATACCAATTCTCCTGACACAATTCGCAAAGGAGACCCCGTTTTGGCCATAAATCAGCAGACAGACACGGTCGAAGACTCTTAGACTCTTGGCACCTATGAGCCAACGGGCAAGTTGTATTTTTGTGGCGCCTCTTGGCGGCACATAAATTCAATTGAAATGAGCAGAGCGCCACCAAGTCGCCAGCTCTAACTACTTTTTGGGCCAGGCCGGGCCGGGCCCAAAATGCCCAGCAAATGCGTTGACCGTTTTACTGCCTAGCGCCCGTACAGGCGTCAATTGGCAAATTGGATTCCATGACAGCCAGGAGGAAAAGTTAATTTGCAGCAGCCATAAATAACACACAGATCAAACTGTAGCCAAATGAAGTGTGCGCAAGGAGAAAGCTTGACTGCCAAACGAAATGCGATCACTGCGATCCAGCAGCCATTTTCATACTCGTTCACGTGGCATAAAGAGTATATAGCTTTAAGCACTTGTCATCTGTCCAGCTTAAAAATTTGAATTAAAACAGAATATTCAATATTGAAATATACGTATACTCTAGTCCATGGCAAACAAATTGATTTTTCAAACAATAAACAAACATAGCCCAATCCACTGAAATGAAATTCTTTTGTGTGTTCGCTGTTTTTTTTTTTATTAAATATAAGAGATATTTAAGAACGCCCTTTTAAAAAAATTAATTAAATAGGTTGAAAAAATAAGAAAAATATAGTAGCTTATGTTAACTATTGTTAGTTCTTATATATTTGATTTTTATCTTGCATTAATTCTACTTAAATCCATTTATTTACCAAGCCCAATGTACTTATTTACCAAATGCATTCGCATACTTGGAATATATATTCGTGAGTACAGCCCCAGACAAGAAGATATAAATTATGAATTTGGCAAAGCTTTAAAGCCTTTTCCCAACGGATCAAATTGGAATTGACTATAAAGTGTTTTGTACAAATTCTGATATGTTTTGAGCTTTATTGATGCTAGCGACTAAAATATATACTTGGAATACATATTCGTGAGTACAGCCCCAGACAAGAAGATATAAATTATTAATTTGGCAAAGCGAAAATCGATATCTTCTAAAGCTTTATAGATAGAAGCTAAAAAATTGTATTATTGAATTACTGCTGATATACTCTATCGATGTATACCCAGTAATTTCCACGGTTTTCTAGACTTATTAGCAAAATCGTACAGTTACTTTACTGTAGAGTGTTTCTAAGAACTGACCAATAATTTAAAGTCATTTCTTCAAAAATGTTGTAGATAATGCAGTATTATGCAGTGGGTTATTTACTTGCTTTGTATCTTCTATACTTTCAACGCTTATAAATCATATTTTTCTAGTATCAGAATAATCAGATTAATTACCTTTTTAGTCAGCGGCATCAATCGCATTGTTTGTAATGCTAGTTGTTATTGTGTGCTGTGATTAATAATTGTTAGGCTGACATTACTACAAATTATAATTACTTATAGTTTATGGGCATTTTAAGCAAATAGAATTCAGCAGCTCGTGTGGAAACTTTTTAGTGGCGCGTGCATTTCTCGACATCTCATGGAAATGCACATTAATTAGAGGGCGAAATTTGAGCACGCCAAGCGCACAAACGAATTCAATTTAATAGCTTTCGGCTTTATTTGAAAACTCATTTTCTGGAAATTAATGAGCGCCCATTTGGCGTTCATCCAGCCACGCCCCCAATGCGCACGCAAGGCGCTGTGCGGCAGCAATGGTGAGTGACTGGCCAGCGATGAGCTTTTGTGGAATCAGCCTTAGTTATATATATTTATAAATTAATGGCACAAGACAAATGGCAAGCGATTTATATTAAAAGGCGCCTGCAAGAAATTGGGCGCCGACCTCTTCAAATTAGTTTTGGTTTAAGTAGTTCTTTTATTTGTTTTTTTTTTTGTTTTGAGTTTTTGGAGTTGCTGTCCGGGGTGGTCTGCAAGAGACCAATAGAGCAT